TCCATTTTGCCATATTCAAGAAATAACAGAAACAGAAAACTTCCGTGATCAAAAAACGGAGTCTTTCATGGTGCAATTAGAAACAATGTTGTATTATTCATCCCGCTTTGTTGACTCAAACAAAATAGATGACTTTCATAATTATATACTCGATGTTTTAAGAACAGTTAGAAGCTTTTTTAATTAATTATTCATTAAAAGTTCAAGTTTCCAGAATAAAAAACTATTTGTCGGTTTTGAATTTTGATTGGTTAGTTAACAAATAGAGAAACCGACAAATTAGCGCCTTTGACTGTAGTACTGAAAATAGTTCCAGAAACAAAAATAATGCATTTTTATTCAAAAACAAATATTCTGATTAATTTAGGTAAAAACCCAATTATTTTACACAAATTTAAACAAAAAACAAGACTATGATAATTAAACTCAAAAGTGTAGTATTTATTATTTTTTCTTACTTCGGTTTAATTATTTTCGAATAAATTAAACCAGATTATTTAATTAAACTTAGACTGAAATTAAACCCAGATTATACTGTATTTTCATAATATCAAATTTGCCCAAATAGTCAAGTTTTTGATTGAGTGAATAATTATATAGCAATTTAAATAAAAACTATATTTTATTATTTTGAAGAAATTTTATTTTATTATTTAAAAAACCATTGAAATAGTAAATTATTTATTAAGTGAGTTACTTTGATAAAAGTGAGTCTAGAGCTGCAATAATTTTCGAATTACTAAATTACTCAGTAATAGGTAATTTCAGTAATTTGATTACAAAGTAGTTAAATTACTCGGTAATCTAATTACTAAATTATCATCAAGACAAAACTTAAAAATCAAACTCCACAAAATTTTTTATATTTTATTTTGAAATATTATTATTTTGTGTTATTTTTTGTTAAACACACATTAATTCGGCATATTTTTAAAAATATTACCAAAACCCCAAAAAATAATGAAAATTATTATTGATAAAAATATGATAGCAGTTAAAATACTCATTGTGGATAAAACGGTTAAATTAAAACTTTTCAATAGTCCATATTTTAATTGTGATTTTTTTTCCTTTTAATAAGTGTAATTTATTATGATTGTTTAAATCCTTTTATTGAAAATGTTATTACTAAAAACTACTAAAGAGAGATTAAAGAATATCAATTAAACTAAAATAATATTA